ATCACTCCAATACATTATCCTCATTATATTTACAACTCCATCTTTCTTTCTTTCTTTCTCTTTCTTTCTCTTTCTTTCTTTCTTTCTTTCTTTCCCTTTCCTCCTTCCTTCCTCCCTCCTTCCATTTCTTCCTTCCTTCCATCTTCCTTCCTCCATTTCTTCCTCCCTCCCTACCTTCCTATCACAGCAATCACTCCAATACATTTTCATTATATTTACAACTCCATCTTTCTTTCTTTCTTTCTTTCTTTCCTTTCTTTCTTTTTCTTTTCTTTCTCTCTCTCTCTTTCTTTCTTAACACATGAAGAAATGTGTTCTTCCTAGAAATGTATCACTACTTCTAGTTAGACTCAATTTAAAAAAAAAACAGCGCCATTTTATACTTAACAGGCATCTGTAAATATATCAAAAGTGTATTTGAGATGACGCGGTAAAAAAGTATATAACGACAGATGCGTTCTTTAAAAAAAAGAAAAAGGAAAACCAAGATTTACTTCTATTACCCTTTTGTGATAATATCATTATTTTTCTTTTACCCGTGTGAACTTGGAACACATCTCCTCAGCATCCTTGACCATATTTGCTCGCAGGATATACTTCGCACACTTGGAATTGATAAATCTGTCCGCCGTATCCAAGGACTGGGCCTCATCCATCCACTTGGCAGCTTCCTTCAGGTTGCCTACATGCTAGGGGGCAAGAGAATCTGTTTTTCATTTCATTTTCATTCAATAACAAGTGCACCAGGCCGAGTCTGAAAAGGTAGCATGTTTTTTTTTTTAAAAAAAAAAATCTCCTTTGCTCGAAATATTGGAAGGATAAAATGACAGCCATCTCTATCCTATTTCATTGTGTGAAAAATAAACTCGGAATCTTCTATATAAATAAAAATGTAAATGTTCAAAATCTTAAATCTCTGAAAGTTCTTCACTGATTGCTTTGAAATTTTGACACAACGTTGCATTCGAATATGCGCGCGTTTTTATATACCTACTATTATATAGATGTCACACCTGTGACAGGTAAAAACATGCTTTTTTTTGAAAAACAGCGCCATCTGTTGGACGTAAAAGCATACCCACAAGCATTGTGAAATTAAACATATTACAAACGTGCGCTTTCTCTTTTCTTTCTTTTCCATTTAACCAGACTGAGCCACAGCAACGCGTGGCCGGGTACAGCTAGTATACTGATAAAAAATAAAAAAAAGATCATAATTGGAAAACTGTCACGGCTGACAAATCACATCTGTAATTGCAGAGCATTAGAGCTAACCTAGATTTTCTCAAGAACAGCAAGTGGTATAAAAGCTTAATCCTAATTTTCTTTCTTCCTAATGTTACCGGTTCAGAGGCACTGGCACTCTAACATCATGTTCTGCTCTGAATTGACATCTGTAAATCAGCATTCAACAGCTGATCAATTTTTTTAAAAACCAAAAGCAAAAATGAAAACAATAAATTCAAAAAGTGGAAGTTAATACCCAGGCATGCTTAAGAAAACGAAACTGATGACAGGAAAGTGTATATGCCCGGTTAACTTGTTGATCGCTTCCAGAGGGAATTGGAATCCTCAAGACCTACCCCCTTCCCAACTGGGTCCACCATTATCCAAAATCGTCTTGGGTCATTCCTACACGCTCCCATTCAAAACAAGGGAGCAGCACTGCCAAAAAACCATCTTTGGTAGTAAAATCAGCAGATTGTCGGTAAGAGGGAAAAAAAGCTCTTACTGTGCAGCAGCCATCTTGGGAGAAAGTCCCTGAATTCACATTTGTGTTTTGGTAACAACCCATAAATATTTTCTACAAGGTCAAATGACTTAATCAATAAAGATTCTATTCTATCCTGTTCTAGTCTACTACATACTGCTCTACTCTACTTCTATACTAATTCTACTTCCATTCTAATTCTACTTCCATTTCATTCTACTTCCATTCCATTCCATTCCATTCCATTCCATTCCATTCCATTCCATACTTCTCTTCTCTCTTCTTTTCTCTTTTCTTCTACTTTACTCTACTCTACTCTACTCTACTCTAGTTATTCTACAGGTCAAATCATCCTGCTCTTCACTATCTAGCTTTGTCTTCAGTTGCATTACGAAATATATACGCAACGAAGACATATTCCGAATACGAGGTGTTTAAGGAAGTGCAATTACCTTATAAATTTTGGCTTTCAAATAGAACAACTCTATTAACGTCGGAGTACTGGTCACAGCAGAATTAATGTAATCCAATGCCAAGGAAAATTGGGCAAGCTTGTCAAAGTGCTGGGCAAGGAAATAACGAACCCAAAGCAGCGTCGTCGGCGGTTCTTGCTCTCCATTTTCTGCAACACACACAGAACATTTGCCAACACTTGAACCTAGAAGTATGTATCATCAAAATGCTGGGTTCTCAAAAAACAGATTCCCCCTGTGAAGATATACCAGCCCAGATTACACTCATTAAACTTTGTTATTTCAGCTCTGTTCCTCAGCTCTGAAGCTTACCATCTGGACTGAACATGTGGCAGGTCTTCAAAGAAGCTTCGTAACCAATCACGAGCTCCTGGATGGCTGAAATCTACAAATGAGAGTTTAGATGTTTGTGTGAAAATGCACTCCTGTGGTCACTGCCTCAATTAATGTTCATTCGTTCGCTATGTAAAGCACATCACTCAACAAACAAGTAACATTGCGATGTCTTACTTGTTAGAACAGTGGTTCTCAACCTTTTTAATGCCGCGACCCCAACCGGTCGTAAATCGAGGACTAAACCGGTCATAAGGCGAGGACTAAACCGGTTGTAAGGCGAGGACTAAACCAGTCGTAAGTCGAGGACTACCCAACCGGTCGTAAGTCGAGGACTTTCCCTGCCTGGGAGCGCCGTGCATGCGTGGTTCCGCCCCCTGCGCCGGCCGAGGCGTAGCTGGCAAGCGGCAGAGACGGAGCAGGCCGACCACCAGCTGGCCCAGCCCAAGGGAGGTAAGGCACCCACCAGAAAAGGGGGAAAAAATGGCGGACAAAAAAATGGCGGACAGCCTTGCTTGGCGACCCCCGTGAAATGGTCGATCGACCCCAAATGGGGTCCCGACCCACAGGTTGAGAACCACTGTGTTAGAATGTTAAGAGCTTTTTGTACAACTCCCACTACTGCAGAGTTCCCCAACTGGGGGGGGGAAGGGGGAGGGGAGAAGAGGGGATGGTTCCGCACGAGTAGCTAGCAAGCGTGTGCGCACAGCTCCATTTGCAGTCTGCATGTGCACCCACCACTCACACAAATGGAGTGCGTGTGCACATGCTCGCCCGCTGCTCGTGCAAGTGAGGATGTGCGTGCGTGTTCGAATGCCGTTTCCGTGGCCCGGTTGCAAAAAGCCCAGAGGTTGATAACTCCTGCACTACTGTACATTCTTGAAAACATTTCCTTGGAAAACCACTAGATGGCAATAGAGTTGCCTGCCTCTCTTTGCTGCCATCTAGAGTCTCTTCCCGCAGCAACCCTAGTTATTTTCCAAATAAAATGTTGGGTATTTTCGTTTTTTCCTCCCCTTAAAATTTCATTAAGCTTATCAAATACAAAATACAAGTTAAAAATGAAGATAATGGGAAAGGGGGAGAGGGAGAAAAGGGGGAGAGAGAAGTATGGGGTTAAAAAAAAAGCATTGACTTTCAAATATTTTCAGCACGGTAGAATGAAGATATTAACATTACAGCCTCAACTTTCTACTTTTGCATATTTCGTCTCTAGTAACCATTTCTAGAATAACACATTTATCTAAATAGCAAATCCCAAAATCAGAATTTCACTGTTTTTCTATCTCAAGCATAGAATCTAAACGTGGTTTCCAAGTTGAAACAACATGGAATGTATTCTTTTATTTAATCAAAGCAATGAATTTGATCCTCTCTGCCAGCTTTATTGATTCTTCCATTGTGGGACTTAGTGTATCCATATTTTTTTCTTGAAGATACACTGAGTGGTATAATCTGGCTTATTTATTTTTTTCCCAACAAGAACCCACTTCCCCACTGGTTCCATCCAACAGATATTGCCAGAGAGTAACAATTATTGTTAAATGGTTTGTAAAATAAATAAATGCTCTTTTATATATCCATATATGTATTAGCGTGCGCGTGTGTGTGCGTGCACGTGTGCATGCTAGGTTTGTAAGAAAACTGACCTTTTCTGTGCTGTAATACAAAGATTTCAAAGTAGTAAACAGAGGTGGACAACCTTTACTGAAATTAACCCGTAGGAATTTATCCAACAGTTCTCTAAATTTTTCACCTAGAAGCAAAAACATATCGATTATATCACAAGAACTCTACGTTCATTTTGCATAAAAGTATGAAAAAATTTCAAAGATGACAATATTAAAAAAAAAACTATTTTGAGAAGTTCATACTGTAAGTTTGCATTTTTCTAGAAAAATGTTGTGGAAATTGGGTCACTTTGTATAATATATGTAGATTGCAGTTACGCAACCTGGTTTTTTTTTAGATTGCTGGGGAGAAATTCGTTCTCAAAACCCATAAGGTACAGTACATGAGAGTTTGCTACTGCATCTCTGGATGGAATTAACAACAGTCACAAGGTGTTCAGTCACTACATCACCTAATTAAAACTAGCGGCTAATATTAGATGCTGGAATACATCAAATGCAAAATCGATTGCGATTATATAGAATTATACAGAAAATACCTAAATATGTGTAAGAATCAGATACTCGTTTTTTCCCCCCGCGTATGGCTGGTTTGTATGCAAGCTATCATAGTTTTGAGGAACAATCTTACTTTGCAATTTCAATTTAGAAAGTGATGGAGTCAATGTTTTTATAATTAGTGGCCAAAATTGGGAAAACCTTTTGGGAAAAGTGTACAGTAGAAATGCCACCTTTGGTTAAATTTCCACCCATTTTTCTTCTAATTTCTTTATAACTGTAGCCTTGTTCACTTAATAAGACTATTTTACATCGCTTTCTGGGCAGCCAGCCAACTCATTGCACCATGACTTTAATTTTATTACGTTTTACAACCTCACTAAATGAAAGAACACCAAAAAAACCAACCAACTTGATAGCGATCACGTACACACTGACAAACGTCCTCCTCTCAGCTTCAATACATGATATCAAGAACCGAATCCTACTGTGATCTGATTGGCTCATGGCCAAAACGAGATGACACCCGGTTGGCTCTCTAAACACTCATGCTGATTGGCTACAATCAGATGAAGGAAAGCTACCTGATATCAACCTAAGCAATCACCAGGAGACTGTGAGTTCTAGTCCTGCCTTAGGCAGGAAATCTGGATGGGTGACTTTGGGCCAATCACCAGGAGACGGTGAGTTCTAGTCCCGCCTTAGGCAGGAAAGTCAGTTGGGTGACCTTGGACCAATCACCAGGAGACGGTGAATTCTAGTCCTGCCTTAGGCAGGAAATCTGGATGGGTGACTTTGGGCCAATCACCAGGAGACTGTGAGTTCTAGTCCCGCCTTAGGCAGGAAAGCCAGTTGGGTGACCTTGGACCAATCACCAGGAGACGGTGAATTCTAATCCTGCCTTAGACATGAAATCTGGATGGGTGACTTTGGGCCAATCACCAAGAGACTGTGAGTTCTAGTCCCGCCTTAGGCATGAAAACCAGCTAGGTGACCTTGGGCCAGTCACTTTCTCTCAACCAAACTCATCTCACAGAGTTGTTTTGGGGAAAATAGGAGGAGGAATGTCTGCTGCCTTGGGTTATTTGTAAAAATACTACAGGCGGGATACAAATAAATAACAACAACAAAAAAAAATACTTTTGGGTATCTTTCTGGCAGGTGAGCAAAGCCTCCAAACTCATCACTCGTGTTGGTTGCAAAGAGCTAGCTGAGTGTTTCCGATTAAATGATCAATATCCCCAAATTAACCACAGCAACAACCGTTACAGGTTATTGGATCTGAATAAAATCCAGCTACACGGAGCTTTTCTTAAAAGCCCACGAGGTTTTTCTTATGCCGGAATGCTTCGTGTCTGAAAATTGCTTTTTGATTCATGGCTGTGCCTAAACAAAATAATATATATATATATATAGGAAAAAAACACACACACACACACACCAAAGACGAATTTTCCATTGCAGAGGAAATGGAAGTGGAAAAAAAAATACCAGCCAAAACTTTTTAAGTATCGTAGAGCCGTACTACATACAGAAAAGCAACAACGTTACCTGTGACAAAGTTTAAAGGTAGCCTTTTAGGAGAAACAGCCCGGGGATGTCGCTTGCTTATTTCTTCATACGTTTCTAGCCTCTCTTCTAAAGAATCTATGGATGGATGACAAATGTAAAATTGGAGTTGTTACGCCTTGAAAGTCACACGGTTCAGGAACAAGCAGCAATGTAGAACACTGTGTTATTATGCTGAGCAAAATCCAATTACAGTAGTGGCCAAAATTGTGGAAACCTTTTGGGAAATGTGTACATTTGAGGTTTGATGGCTAATAACACCCCTTTTTTTGGGAGTAGTACCATAAAATTATATATCAATGGAAAGATAATTTAATCGAGAATGTAATGCAACAAAGTTTGTTCCATTATCTGTACTGTATTCTGTGAAAAGTGATAGCCAAATAACCAGAAAAAGGAAGCACAACTTGTTTAGGTTGATCTCGGGTAGCTTTCCTTCATCTGATTGCAGCCAATGAGCATGAGTGTTTAGAGAGCCAATCGGGTGTCATCTTGTTTTGGCCATGAGCCAATCAGATCACAGTAGGATCTAGTGATTGATGTCATGTATTGAAGCTGAGAGGAGGACATTTGTCAGTGTGTTATGTGATCGCTATCAAGTTAGTTGGGTTTTTTGGTGTTCTTTCATTGAGTGAGCTTGTGAAATGTAATAAAATTAAAGTCGTGGTGCAAAGAGTTGACTGGTCGCCCAGAAAGCGATGTAAAATGGTATTATTAAGTGAACAAGGCTAGAGTTATAAAGAAATTAGAAGAAAAATGGGTGGAAACTTAACCAAAGGTGGCATTTCTACTGTACACTTTTCCCAAAAGGTTTCCACAATTTTGGCCACTACTGTATTCTATTTCACTTGCCTGATGTTTTCCTGCGAGCAGAAAACGTGAGTCTATATTCGTGCAAGCAATAAATCAAGTATTTTTGTTTCCTTTCTACAAGTCATTTTACAACTCACAACCCACGTCGTCAAACAACAGAGTTTCGTTGTGTGAACTGTTCTCCCCAGCAATTAGCGTCCCATCCCATTTTCCCCTCATTTAAATTTGGATACGGCTCAACGTATCCTTTTTAACTCAAATTATAATTTAATATGTTTTTTTTTTAAAAAAATTCCAAATAAACACAGAGCATAGAATTCCCTCCCATAGAGCAGTTTGAAATTACTAGAAGTAATACCGAATTGGGTAGGCTGTTTTCAGGAATGACAAACCACTGAAATAGTTAAATATCTCGTGTTCAGACAAGGAGGTATCATTTTCAAATAACATCTTGCAGAGGCGTTGCAATCAAACGCCACAATGCAACCCACAGTTTAAGCTTAGAGAGACTGCAACGAATATCCGCAGACCGTCCTCACCTACAACTGTTCAAAGTTACACCACTGCAAAGAGTGACCTTATGACCGTTATTCACACTTACAACCACTGGTGCGTGCTCAAGATCACAGGATCAAAATTCAGACGCTCGGCAACTGACTCATATTTATGACGGTCGCAGTGCCCCAGGGTCACGTGATCCCATTTTGCGACCTTCTGACAAGCAAGGTAAGAGATTCACTTGTTTGGGGTGTCTGGGTGTCAGAATCCAGAATAACAGAGTTGGAAGGGACCTTGGAGGTCATCTAGTCCAGTGCCCCAGGGTCACGTGATCCCCTTTTGCGACCTTCTGACAAGCAAGGTAAGAGATTCACTTGTTTGGGGTGTCTGGGTGTCAGAATCCAAAACAACAGAGTTGGAAGGGACCTTGGAGGTCTTCTAGTCCAACCCCCTGCTCAGCCAGGAAACCCTATACCCTTTCTGACAAATGGCTGTCCAGTCTCTTCTTAAAATGGGACAAAAACTCACTTAAATTTCGGGTGTAAGTCGAGGACAACCTATATTTCTCCAAAATGTAAGACACCATATTTTTTTCAAAGCCCCCACCCCCTTAAATTGCTGGAAGCAAAATGTACAATTCCTTCTCGTACGTGGCTGCAGAGCTTTTTCCAGGCCTTCGTAGTAACTCCAACATTCTGCGTTCCGATCAATAAGTTCTTGGTAGATCTCGGCCGCTTCTTCCAGTCGTCCCAAATTCAGCAACATTTCCCCTGCAGCAATAATATAATCACACCTGACTTTAAAATAAATAAATAAAGTAAAAATGGAAAAGCTTTGGACGCTGAAAAGGGTCAATTCTTACACTGGCTTCGAAAACAATAACAGCATAGTTAATTCCGATATCCATCTGGTGTACCCCGGGTATGTCCGGGGTGGTGGTGGGGGAGTATATTGTTGTTAGTTGCGAAGTCGGGTCCCACCCATCGCGACCCCATGGACCACGTTCCTCCAGGCCTTCCTGTCCTCTACCATCTTCTGGAGTCCATTGAAGCTTACACCTCCTGCTTCAGGGACTTCATCCAGCCACCTCCTTCTCTGTCGTCCCCTTCTTCTCTTGCCCTCCATCTTTCCCAGCATCTGGCTCTTCTCCAGGGAGTCCTTCCTTCTCGTTAGGTGGCCAAAGTACTTGAGTTTCAACTTCAGGATCTGGCCTTCTCAAGAGCAGTCAGGGTTTAATAATAAACCCAGAGTATATTACATTCTCATAAATGGTCCAAACCCAATCCCTCTTGAATTCCGTTTACCCTTATCTGGCGCCAATTTAGTATCAATGCTAATTTTGCTTTTCATCCCAAAAGTTTCAACCCAGTGCAACTGAAGAAGCTTCTGGGAGGAGAAGCGAAACGTTTTCAAAGAAGAAAAAAAAAAACCACCAGGAAAGTTCTGTTGCTTTTGGGGAGGGGGAAAAAAACCCCAGCACCTTTCAAATGAGAAAAATTATACTATTTAAATTCCAGTTTTATATAAAGCGATGGCTGATTGGGGAAAACCTCCGGTTTAAAGTTCCGTTAAGAAAAGAAACAGGGCTATGGAAAAATGAAGGATAATTAAGAGGCTTACAAAAATTAAATTACCTTTAATTTCGTCTATCATGAGTTTGTCGCAGATTTGCCTTTCGTAAGTCTCTATGTGGTCCAAAGATTCTTGAAAGAGATCCGCTTCTCTCATCACTTGGTTCTGATACAATATTAATTCGCTATATTCGTAGTCTATTTTGTTTGGGGGGACCTGAAAAACAACCCCAATAGATTTGATAATTGGTTGGGTAGCGTTACTACATCAAAAGTCTTGTCTTTTTTTTTTTGCAAATGAATAAAAAGGCCAGAAAACGTTAAGTTTAGGAAAAGTCTGCAGTTGAAACAATTCAGAGTAGATAATTTGATTGGACAATTTCTTTTATTCCGCTGGACTTTTGTCGCTTTTGATATATGGGCAACGTCAGCATTAGAAAAGGTTGTTTCAAGTGATAATGGCTAGGCCAACTTTATAATATATTTCTGCTCATATTAGCCTACATTCTAAAATGTGGTTGGGATAGACTTTTGACTTTTTCCTTTGATAAACTGTTTATATACCTGAAAACTTACTAAAAAGAGAGCATAAGGACAGTGCCTCTGAGTGTAAAAAATAACAAATAACAGAATACCGGAATACAGAGTCGGGAGGGACCTTGGAGGTCTTCTAGTCCAACCCATTGCTGAATCAAGAGACCCTCTACCATTTTAGACAAATGGGTTGTCCAGTCACTTCTTAAAAACTTTCAGTGTTGGAGCATTCACAACTTCTGGTGGCAAGCTGTTCCACTGGTTAATTGTTCTAACTGTTAGGAAGTTTCTCCTTAATTCTAGATTGCTTCTCTCCTTGATTAGTTTCCATCCATTGTTTCTTGTCTTGCCTTCTGGGGCTTTGGAAAATAGATTGACCCCCTCTTCTTCGTGGCAGCCCCCCAAATATTGGAAGACTGCTATCACATCACCCCTAGTCCTTCTAGACATACCCAATTCCTGCAACTGTTCTTCATATGTTTTAGCCTCCAGTCCCCTGATCATCTTTGTTGCTCTTCTCTGTACTCTTTCTAGTTTCTACTATCCCTTTGAAATTAATGAACAGATCTTTAATTTCGAATGAAGATCCACTGAATTCAGTGGTGGATATGTAAGTTTGCATTGTAAATTATACAACATTTATTTATTTATTTTATTTATTAATTTAATTTATATCCCGCCCTTCTCCTTCCGGACTCAGGGCGGCTAACAACCAGATAAAACACTAATCCCCAAAAAACTACAAATTTAAAAACATAAGTAAAATCAAATATTAATAATTTGGTCGAATTAATTTAAGGAATCTATTCCAAGTTGGTCTGGACAAAGGTAACAATTCGCTTTTGAGGAACAAAATCGTTTTATGGAAAACACTGGTTTGTTTGTGTTTGGTTTTTTTTTAAACTTAAAATGCATACCACCTTATGATGTGCAGCCGATTTCAACGAACTGAAGCAAAAGTTAATTATTAATTAAAAGCAGCAGCATTTCATTTTAAAAGCTGCACTTTATTTCCCTTCAGGCTTTGGTGATGTGATTTTTAAATAGAATAGGAGAGAGTCACTCTCACGGAGAAATGCAGCTACTCAAAATTCTTATCCGCGGACATTAGGACGAGCCTTCTCTGAATAAAATCTTACCTGTTGGGTTTTCCTAAATTCTTCTAACAACTTTAAGGCCATGTCGTAATCTTTTAGCAAATGATATGCGATTGCATAGCCGATCCACGAGGCTCTCTGCGTGGGTCGGAGCTGAAGTAATTGATATCTGGTTTCCTTCAAAGAAATAACAAACACAGCTAAAAACAGCATTCTAAACAAGGCACATTCTTAATGAAAGATTTAAAATCAATGATACGAAGGATCAAAGCCATCAGAAATAGAAAAGTCAAAGAAAAGCTGTCTCAGAAATAAACTCGGGGTTTTAGATGATTAGTTTTAACTAACTATCTATCTATCTATCTATCTATCTATCTATCTATCTATCTATCTATCTATCTATCTATCTATCTATCTACCTACCTACCTATCTACATCTACCTACCTACCTACATCTATCTATCTATCATCTATCTATCTATCTATCTATCTACCTACCTACCTACCTACTATCTATCTATCTATCTATCTATCTATCTATCTATCTATCTATCTATCTATCTATCTATCTATCTATCTAATCTACTGTATCTATCCGTCCATCCATCCTTCTACCTACCTACCTACCTACCTCTATCTATGTCTGTCTGTCCGTCCGTCCGTCCATCCATCCATTTTTCTACCTACCTACCTACCTACCTACCTACCTACCTCTATCTATCTATCTATCTATCTATCTATCATCTATCTATCTATCTATCTATCTATCTATCTATCTATCTATCTATCTATCTATCTATCTATCTATCTATCTATCTATCTATCTATCTATCTATCTATCATCTAATCTACTGTATCTATCCGTCCATCCATCCATCCATTTTTCTACCTACGTACCTACCTACCTACCTCTATCTATGTCTGTCTGTCCGTCCATCCATCCATTTTTCTACCTACCTACCTACCTACCTACCTACCTACCTACCTACATCTATCTATCTATCTATCTATCTATCTATCTATCTATCTATCTATCTATCTATCTATCTATCTATCTATCTATCTATCTATCTATCTGCTCTACAAATCCATTTAGCATTTCAATGAGTGATTAAGTGCTGCACACAAATGGATTTAAGTGAGGCAATGATTGATTGATTGATGAAACATAAGCACTTACTCTGTATCCTTCGAGATCTCTCATCTGGATCTGCAGCAGCGAAAGGTCTCTGAGGATCTGCAGGTTGTCTTTATCTAGCTTCAGAGCATTTCGATAGCACTTAATCGCTTCGTCGTATTTTTTATCGGAGCGCTGCAAGAGTCCATAAACATGCCAACCTAACAGAGTTAAGGAAACGGGCAGATCCTGTTTGCTGAAGGCAAATTATGCCAACCTTAGCGCGACTCGTTTATCACGGATTTGGGGGTCTGCCCTGGGACGTAGTCCAGACGAGAAGCACACCCAAGTAGTAGCTCTAACTTAACTCTGTAAGGGCAAACAGAGGCATGTAGTCCTCCATTTACAACAGTTTGTTTAGGGACCGTTCAAAGTTACAATGGCACTGAAAAAAGTGACATGACCGTTTCTCACACTCACAACCGTTAACGGCATCCCCAGGGTGACGTGATCAAAATCCAGACACTTGATAACCGACTCATATTTATCCTTGGATCACGTGATCCCCTTTGGCGACCTTATGACAAGCAAAATCAATGGGGGGGAAGCCAGATCCACTTAACAATTTTGTTACTAACTTAATCGCTGCAGGGATTCACTTAAGAAAGAAAGGTCATAAAATGGAGCGAAACACACTTAATGAACGTTTCACTGAGCAACAGAAATGTTTGGCTCAATCTGAGGTCGTTAAGTTGAGGATTACCTGTATCTCTTCCCCCCACCCCGCCTTTACAGTCCAAGAAATTAGGGAGGGTCCCTTCTCGTCCCCAATTTGATAAGGCAGAGTAGTCTAAAAATAATAATAATAATCACTTTAATTCATTTTGTGTGGACAAGACACTGGCACATTTCAGAATGAAGTTTGAGAGCGAGACCTGCTAACAGATGCACAATTTCAAAGGATACACACGTGACTTTTGACATCGTTACGTAGTCCTTTACGGACAAATTCGTACGCGTCTTCTTTTTTCCCTAAGCAATTCAACGTCAGCCCTTTCATTGCCAGCGTCTCTGGAAAAAGAAAGAGGGTCTTACTTTTGAAATTATAAACGATAAGAGACGTTTTGAACCCTGATGGGAAATTAAAATTAAAAAAAAAAAAAAGCAAAAACAGAATACCGATTGAACGTATAGATAGTTAAGTGCAAACGCAATTAAGATACCTTTTGGTTAGAAAAGATATTTTAAGCTGACATGATTGATGTTATGAGAAAAATGTAACGAAGATGTTGATATTCAATTGTGTATCTATTAATAACAATAAGGATTGTGTTTGCCCAGTGTGGGAAAACAGGTGCCACCGGAAGAAGAGAGAAAACATCGGATGGTATAATATTGGATCTAGAATGAAGAAGTTAATATAGATCACTAAATTACTAATGGACCCAGACAACACGTTGTTTATTAAGTATTTGATTGCAAAATTAGAAAATTAATAAAACATAGGTAAGTGAAAAAGAAAGAGGGTCAACCTTTTGAATACTGAATCAAGAGACACACCTTAAATATGCTTTCAGGAACTACAGAGGTAAAAGTTGGATTTTCCCAAATATGACATCCATAAACTATCTGTGAGGCAATGGCCTCTTAGTCAACAAAGGTTCACTGCACCGTTTTAAGGAAATAAAGTAACTGGCATTTCAAACCTACCTCCATGTTCAGCGAACTTTGGATTGGAGAGGATCATCTTACAGAATTTGAGTCCATTTTTGTATTGTTTTTGTTCATAACATTTCTAAGGAAGGAAGAAAAAAAAAACCAGAACGACAAGTGATTTAGCAGATCAAAGTCAGCAATGCATACACATGTGCAATAGATGAATAGGTCAACTTGAGTTGGCCAGATTAATGTCAGGCGCCAAGAATCAGAATCACCGGTTGGGTTGCTGCACTGAAAATTTATTCCAAGCCTACACACAAAAACCTGGTTAGAACTAAAGTTCAACACTAAAGTGCTGCCAGATAAGAGTCAATGGAAATGGAAATGGAAATGGAAATAGAGTAGAATAGAATAGAATAGAATAGAATTACAGGATAGAATCAAATCATATCAAATCAAATAGAATAGAATAGAATAGAATAGAAAATAGAATAGAATAGAATAGAATTAAGGAATAGAATGGAATGGAATGGAATGGAATGGAATAGAATAGAATAGAATAGAATAAAGGAATAGAATAGAATAGAATAAAGGAATAGAATAGAATAGAATAAAGGAATAGAATAGAATAGAATAAAGGAATAGAATAGAATAGAATAGAATAGAATAGAATTAAGGAATAGAATAGAATAGAATAAAGGAATAGAATAGAATAGAATAGAATAGAATAGAATAGAATAGAATTAAGGAATAGAATAGAATAGAATAAAGGAATAGAATAGAATAGAATAAAGGAATAGAATAGAATAGAATAGAATAAAGGAATAGAATAGAATAGAATAGAATAGAATAGAATAAAGGAATAGAATAGAATAGAATAGAATAGAATAAAGGAATAGAATAGAATAGAATAGAATAGAATAGAATAGAATAGAATTAAGGAATAGAATTAAGGAATAGAATAGAATAGATATTGGAATATAGACTAGGCTAGGCTAGGCTAGGCTAGATATTGGTGGCCAACTTTACAACTGCAGTGATTCACTTAACAACAGTGGCAAAAAAAGTGATAAAACAGAGCAAAACCCCCTTAACAAATGTCTCTCCTGGCAACAGAAATGTTGGGCTGAGTTGTGGTGGTAAGGGAAAGAGAGGGGCTGCGGCACAACGGTGTCCTGTTTTCGCGCCCCATGGCGTGGTGTCGGCCCATTTTTACATGCTGCAGGGCAGTGGCGCCCTGTTTTTGCGCCCCAAGGGGTGGTGGCAGCCTGTTTTGGCGCCCCGAGGTGCGGTGGCGTCCTATTTTTGTACCCTGTGGCAAGGCAGCGTCCTGTTTTTACGCCCCAAGACGTGGCGGTGTCCCATTTTAGTGCCCCGAGGTGCAGTGGCGTCCCATTTTTGTGCCCTGCGGCAAGGCAGCGTCCTGTTTTTATGCCCCAAGACATGGCAGTGTCCCATTTTTGTGCCCCGAGGTGCGGTGGCGTCCTATTTTTTTTTTTCCTTTGGCAAGGCAGCATTCTGTTTTTGCACCCCAAGGTGCGGCAGCGGCCCGTTTTTGTGCCCCGAGGTGCAGTGGCGTCCTATGTTTGTGCCCTACGGCAAGGCAGCATTGTTTTTGCACCCCAAGGCGCGGTAGTGGCCAATTTTTGCACCCTAAGGTGTGGCGTCATCCGGTTTTCCCGCCCCAAGGTGCAGCGTCTAGTTTCTGCACCCTACAGCTGCGGCGCCATGGCCCACTACCAGGCTGCGGCCCACAAGTTTGGGATCCCTGGTGTAAACAATTGTTCAATATCCTTAATTTTGCATGAAAGCGAAATAATGCTGAGGATTAGAGGCCGGGATGGACAAACAGATGCCAGATATTCCAGCTGGGTTTAGAGAAGGCTCGGGAATATGAGATTTATTACTAATGCCCGCTGGGAACCTGAGAAGGCCTTATGAATTATCGAAAGGCCTTTGATTGGATTGATCGTGTCAACCGGTGGGATGCGTTTAAAAACAAATGAGAAATCCAGAATATCACATTTTTCTTATGCAAAATCTACATGGAGGACACAGTACAGACAGAATATGGAGGAACAGGCTGACTCCAGGCTGGCAAAAAAAAAAAATGAGACAAGGTTGTATATCTCCCCTCCCCCTAGTTATTCAATCTATATGCTAAGCATATATTAAGGGAAATTGGAATGGAAAAAGATGAGCATGGCTTTAAATCTGGAGAAACATCAATAATCTGCAGTAGGAAGATGACACTGTTCTGGTAGCTGGAGTTTCAAAGGATCTGCAAGCTTTTTTTGGGGGGCGGGGAAAAAGTCAAGAACACAATGAAAACATGGTATTAAAATGAAGCATCAAGACAAAACTACAGCTAGTCCTCACTCACTCACTGACCTTTCATTCAGTCCTCATTCACTGACCTTCTAAATCACAACAATAATTTTACGGTCCATTTACAACAGTTGCAACGTCCCTCAATCATATGATCACTGTTACAGTACATGTTATCCTGTGCCTGGCCAGTGTTTTCTTTTCCCCCTTCCCATAATAATAATAATAATAATAATAATAATAATAATAATAATAATAATAATAATAATAATAATAATAATAATAACAACAACAACAACAACAACAACAACAATAATAATAATAATAATAATAATAATAATAATAAAGTTGGAAGCGACCTTGGAGGTCATCTAGTCCAACCCCCTGCTCAGGCAGGAAATCCTATACCATTTCAGACAAATGGCTGTCCAGTCTCTTCTTAAAAACTTCCAGTGTTGGAGCACCCACAGCTTCTGGTGGCAAGCTGTTCCACTGGTTAATTGTTCTAAGTGTCAGGAAATTTCTCCTTAGTTCTAGGTTGCTTTTCTCCTTGATTAGTTTCCATCCGTTGCTTCTCGTCCTGCCTTCAGGCGCTTTGGAGAATACCTTGACTCCCTCTTCTTTGGGGCAGCCCCTGAGATATTGGAACACTGCTAGAATGTCCCCCCTCGTCCTTCTCTTCATTAAACTAGACATCCCCAATTCCAGCAGCCTTTCCTTATATGTTTTAGTCTCCAGTTCCCTAATCATATTTGTTGCTCTTCTCTGCCCTCTTTCTAGAGTCTCGGCATCTTTTTTACATCGTGGTGACCAAAACTGGATGCAGGATTCCAGGTGTGGCCTTACCAAGGCCTTGTAAAGTGGTATTAACACTTCACTTGATCTTGATTCTATCCTTCTGTTAATGCAGCCCAGCACTGTGTTGGCCTTTTTGGCAGCTGCAGCACACGGCTGGCTCCTATTTAAGAGAAAGGGATTGCAAGAGAGTAAGCTGTTTATTTTTCTCCACATCGAGCGCAGAAGAGTGAACATCTTTTTGTATTGAAAGCTGTTCCTTTTTCAATATCTCCACTCAGTGGGATAGAGACAGCGACAATGGCAATGGAGAAAGTCACGAAGAAAATTTATCTAAGAATCGACACCAATTCAGTGGCACAGAATCCGTCAACAATGGAAATGTCTGTCAGGGCTGAATCCTGCAATTAAGAAGTGGATAAGAAGGCTGGACCCAAAACACCAATGAAAGAAACACCATAGTATACTGCCTTGAGGGTTTTTTAAAAAAAATTAATTAGTCTAGTACAGGGCCCCCCAAACCCTGGGCTATGGCCTGTACCGGGCTGAGTCCTGTTTGGAACCTGGCCACCCAAGCAGGTGTGCTTGTGCGCGAAACTCCATTTGTGCGAATGGTGTGAGTGCACACCCACCACTTACCCGCTGCACGTGCGGAACCATCTCCTCTCGCCCCCCCTCCCGGCAATCCAGAAAGCCAGAAAGATTGGGGACCACTGGTCTAGTAGGTTGACGAGCCGTGGTGGTGCAGTGGTTAGAATGCAGTACTGCAGGCTACTTCTGCTGACTGCCTGCAGTTTGCCAGTTCGATCCTAACTGGCTCAAGGTTGACTCAGCCTTCCATCCTTCCGAGGTCGGTATAAGTCTAAGTGCTATCCTTCCTTCCTTCCTTCCTTCCTTCCTTCCTTCCTTCCTTCCTATGGCAGCGCAATGATTACAATACAGTACTGCAGGCTGACTCTGCCCACAGTCAGGAGTTTGATCCTAACCAGCTCAAGGTTGACTCAGCCTTCCATCCTTCTGAGGATCGGTATAAGTTTAAGTGCTATTGCTATCCTTCCTTCCTTCCTTCCTTTCCATGATGGCGCAGTGATTAGAATACAGTATTGCAGGCTGACTCTGCCCACAGTCAGGAGTTCGATTCTCACCGGCTCAAGGTTGACTCAGCTTTCCATCCTTCCGAGGTCGGTAACCCAGATTGTTGGGTGCAAATATGCTGACTCTGTAAACCGCTTAGAGAGGGCTGTAAAGCACTGTGAAGCGGTATATAAGTGCTATTGCTATGGCTATTGAAGGAATGGTTGAATCAATAAACTTCTATTCATACCTGAAAAAGTAAAAGTGGAATTGTATAACTGGAAAAAAAATAGGTTAGAAATTCTGGCTAATCCTCTCCATTTACACCGATTACAAAGAAACCAAAGCAATCCAGACTACAACTAACATTAAAAATCTGGGCTAAAATAAGAATTGAACTCATCCTCAGCCAAACACTTGTAATTAACAGCTACTGACACTGATTACATTGATCATTTTGCATGCGTGAACATTTAAAACGCTGGGTTAAGGAAAGGTGTCAAAAGTAGCCCGTCGCACACTGCTAACTTTGCTGTCTTCTTCTAGAAAAAGGAATCTCTTCGCTGTTCTAAAATTAGGGATTTATTTTTAGCAGACAGCAGAGTGTTAGAGTGACTTGCTAAGAGGCATTCCTAAAACCACATTGCAAGCGAGAAATAGCCGGAACAAGATTTTCTGCTAAAGAGGACGAGCATCGGTAGGCGAAGAACAGGAAGAAAAGATACATACAGGTAGTCCTTGATTTACGACGGTTCGTTTAGTGAGCGTTCAAATTTACAACGGCGCTGAAAAAAGTAAGATGGGACTAGGATTCACAATCTCCTGGCTTCTAGCCTAGGACCTTAACCACTAGGCCAAACTGCTTCACATCGTAAGAGAAAAAAAACACACGAAAAAAGTCTACGCTGCTTGCAGT